GCTTGTCTTTCATTTCAATTTTCTCCTATAGTTTTCCCCGACCAATTCTAAGCATGTCAAACATGTCTCTGGCTAGTGTTATTGTTGATTTTTTAATTTGACAATTTCTAGCAAATTTATTCAGTCTAACCTTCACCACAATCCAGTTTGAGGACATTTCAGTCTTCCAAAAACGTTAAAACAGGGCCACTAGGGAAAAAGAGACAGGTTGAGAAGGAGACAGTGGAAACCCCTTCCCATGTTCTCCAGTATTGGTCCTTAGCCTCCCCAGCCTGTCACTCCACCCTAGAAGAATCTGGATTCACAGCAGCGCCTCTGCAACCCAAACTACTAACCGCCCTGGGGAGCCTCCCCAGATGGGGGAGGAGGGAAGAAGTGGCGCGCTGGATGCTGCCGGGCTTCCTGCTCTGTGTGCTGAGATCACTTTCGGTTTTCTTTTCTGGAAACCTGAAGCGGTGGCGTGGCCAGGCCACCAGGACTTCTAGACTGGACCCGGAAGGCGTCTCCAGGCAGGGTCCCGGATCTCCTTAAATGATCTCTGGACTAGGGAACCTGGGTGACAGCCCGGCATCAAGGTGCGTTCTGCCCTTGGGCTCTGCAGCGCTGAACTCTTCATTCTTGGGGATCGACTTTTATCTGCTGGACTTAGGGTCCCTAAGCTCTTTCTTGGCAAACAAGTGCTTTTCAGAGACTCGGGGAGGGTGCCTGGGCCCTGCTAGGAGGTGGATAAGGGGGATGGAGGGGAGTGTGGTGGAAACTAACACAGAGTTCCTTTTCTGAATGTTAAAAGCTGTTGGGGATACTGTCCTGTGCGTGTTCCCGAGGTTGGACCCTGGTGGGCAGTGCCTTCAGCATCTACCAGGCATTTGCCTCATTTTGGAGCTAATGAGAAAGAGAAAGTGAGGAGTGTGCTTACTTCTCTGTAGCATGTCATGAGATTTGTTTTTGTTGTTTTGTTGTTGTTTTTGGTATATTCATGTTCGTTTCCTTGAAATACATTCCTGTGCATGAAAATTCAAGGGGATTCGTATTTTAGGGCTCATGACAGTGATTACCAAATGAGGCATGAACGCTTGAGCTGGTTTACCTTTCTACCATTATCAGGGTTGTCGATACTGTTTTCTCCGAGGATCACTTTGACATGAATTTGCACTGTCAAGCCATTCCCGCTTTTCTGGCTACTCCCACTTAATGCACTTTTTGTACACGCAGCTTCATTTACTGATTGCTCATGTTTGGGCTTTGTCTTTCCTACTGGGTGTTTGCCTTTTCCTAATTTATTAGTAAGACCCTCAACATAATAAAAACCCAAATGCAGGTATCTGTGAGATGCAGTATCTTTTTTTTTTTTTCTTACTGTTTTTAACTTCAAGACAGAGTTTCACTATGCATCTCTGGCTGTCCTGGAACTTACTAAGTAGACCAGGCTGGCCTCAAACTCATAGAGATTCTGAGTCATTTTGTCAGGCTTGAGATACAGCATCTTGCACAGTGAGAAACGAAATGTTAGCGTCAGACTCTGCCGTGCCATTGGTTTCCTCTGGCTTGGTTACTTATCCCCTCTGGGGCCTGCTTTTCATCCTTTGGAAACTGTGGCAGGTGATGAATGAGAATTCATTCTCTGTCACTGTCTTAGTCTGAGTGCTTCTATATAGTAAGTCATCCTAAACAGAGCCCAGAGTATGTGTCCATTCTGGTGCCCTCCCCCCACACACACACCCATGACTTTAATCAACAACTTTCTCTCCTACCTGTCCTCAGCTGCCAGGATTTCCTTGGGACTGAAGGCTGTTGATGGCACATACAATACTGCCATAGCTGCTGCTTCTTCTTCTTCTTCTTCTTCTTCTTCTTCTTCTTCTTCTTCTTCTTCTTCTTCTTTCCTCAAATTTTCTCCTGCCAAAGTCAAGAAATTTGGAAATTAGTAGAAGTGAGCAGGACTGCTTAATTTGCCACTGGGATTAACTTCCTAGAAATACACACTAATTGCAGTTTACTATTCTATTTAACAAAAGGTGAAAGGGGGGAATCCTCATGTACTTTGTGCTTAAAAACAACAACAACAACAACAACAACAACAAAACTTTAATAGGGCACTTACCAAAGATGCCCAAGGGCTCAATCCCCAGTACTGCCAAACAACAACAAAAGTGCCCCCTAGAAGATGGCACCTGTTACAACACTTTGCCAAAACTGTCACCTGGAAGTTTTCGTCCTGTTATAAATGACTGGTTCTTTTCTCACACTCTGGGAGTGGTGGATTTTATGAACATCCTATAGGAATGAGGAAAGGCACAGGTCTGTCCTTAAGAATGCAATGGCTTCATAAATCCAAATGGTGACATCACTTTGACCAATCCTATTTTTCACATCCTTCCTGATTTCATTTTACCTGTTTGTGTCAAAATGTGTGATTTTTCAGTGTCTAAATATTACCAGGTTCCGGTGGGGCGTTGGTGGTACACGCCTTTAATCCCAGTACTCAGGAGGCAGAGGCAGGTGGATCTCTGTGAGTTTGAGGACAGCCTGGTCTACAAGAGTGAGTGCCAGGATAGGCTCCAAAGCTACACAGAGAAACCCTGTCTCAAAAAACCAAAAA